CTATTAATAATAACTTTATATTTATTGTAAGGTATTTAATAAGAATAAATATAAAAAGATAAGATTAATTGAAAAGTAGATAACTACTTTATTAAGGTAAGATTTAGTTAGAAATATTTTATATTTTTAAATGGAGGGAGTATATTATTTCATGTAATACCTCTTTTTAATTTAGAATCAGTAAAAGTACAATAGTGTTAGGTTTTAACCACAACGTAATTATTAAGAAAAAAAGAGAAAAAAGACAATAGACATAAAATAACAGGTGGCACCACTGCACTTAATTATTTTTTTTCCTTTTCATGCACTTAATTTCATACGTGTCATTTTCTCTCCAAATGCATGAACAAAGAAAACAAATTTTCAACTAAATGTGGAGGATTTTAAACCTATATACTAATAAATACCAACATACAAAACTTAATTAAAAAAGCATTATTTTCACGTTCAAATGTTAAAACTCGTGAATAGTCCAATAAAATTAAAAGAGGATTCTACGTTGAAATTTTTTTTTTGTTGTTGGCACATTATTTCTTTTTTGGTCAATCGTTGGCACATTATTAATTGTTTAAAAACGGGGTTGTAACTTGTGCTTCATTAAAATATTAAATCCCAAATTATATTATGTGATAATATAGCTAGGCAATGGTTTGACAAAATGGCAAAAGCAAGGAAATTCAAATCCATGCTGGGCCCTACGAAAAATAGAGAGGGGAAGACACACAAAAGAGAAAGCTTAAACAGGGCGAGATAAGAGCAACCCCTTGGGCCTTGGCTAACATGTCTCGCCCATTGTATTAAAAAAACAAAACAAAGAAAAGAAAAAGTATCACTCAATGCTCAGCCCTACAAAATAAAACTGTAAAATAATTCATTTTTGAATGGAGCCAATAGTTCGAGCAAACTGGACTTAGGTAGAGCAAGCTGGCTATCACGTGATTTTATGATAAATGGTTTTAATTTTTTTTTTTGTATTTTGAATTTGAATAGAAAATAAAATAACCTGTTAAAAGAAAATTAATATCAAGATAAATTTTAAACTTCAAGAAAATGCATGAGATTTGCTCAAATCATCAATAAATAAGTAATAATAATTATTTAAGGCTTAAAAAATCTATGTAATTTTAATATTAATAAGTATAAGTTCACATGATTATATGTAACATTCTTCCAAAAAAAAAAAGCTTCCCCACCCCCGGGCTAGCTATGGGTTCTAGCTCTACCACTACTTTTGAGACCAGTTTCTATTTTAACTGGTTAGAAAAAAAAAAAGGTCAATTTTTTTACAATATTAATTTATAATAAAACTTCCCATCAAAAGCAAAAAGAAAGTATATAATTTATTCAATCTCATACATATATTCCTTTCTCATAATTTAAATATTTATACAAATATATTAATTCTATGTAATTTTAATATTACTAAGTATAAGTTTACATGATTATACATAACATTCTTCAAAAAAAAAAAAAGCTCCCCCCCCCCCCCGGGGTAGCTATGGGTTCTAGCTCTACCACTACTTTTGAGACCAGTTTCTATTTTAACTGATTAGAAAAAACGAGGTCAAATTTTTTACAATATTAATTTATAATAAAACTTCCCATCAAAAACAAAAAAGAAAGTATATAATTTATTCAATCTCATACATATATTCCTTTCTCATAATTTAAATATTTATACAAATATATTAATTCTATATAATTTTAATAATAATAAGTATAAGTTCACATGATTATATGTAATATTCTTCCTAAAAAAAAAGGGATAGCTATGGGTTCTAGCTCTACCACAGCTTTTGAGACCAGTTTCTATTTTAACTCATTAGAAAAAATGAGGTCTTTTGAAATACCTCGTACCTGCAAGACGAACAATGAACCATTGATCGCTGCTCTGGAAAGTTAACGCATGCACCATCCATTTATGCGTTGCTTAGGTTACATGACCACATATCTCCTGATAATTTTTTACAATATTAATTTATAATAAAACTTCCCATCAAAAACAAAAAAGAAAGTATATAATTTATTCAATCTCATACACATATTCCTTTCTCATAATTTAAATATTTATACAAATATATTAATTCTATGTAATTTTAATATTAATAAGTATAAGTTCACATGAATATATGTAACATTCTTCCAAAAAAAAAAAAACTCCCCCTTGGGGGTAGCTATGGGTTCTAGCTCGAGCACTGCTTCTGAGACCAGTTTCTATTTTAACTGATTAGAAAAAAAGAGGTCAAATGTTTTACAATATTAATTTATAATAAAACTTCCCATCAAAAACAAAAAGAAAGCGTATAATTTATTCAATCTCATACATATATTCCTTTCTCATAATTTAAATATTTATACAAATATATTAATTCTATATAATTTTAATAATAATAAGTATAAGTTCACATGATTATATGTAATATTCTTCCTAAAAAAAGGGGTAGCTATGGGTTCTAGCTCTACCACAGCTTTTGAAACCAGTTTCTATTTTAACTCATTAGAAAAAATGAGGTTTTTTGAAATACCTCGTACCTGCAAGACGAACAATGAACCATTGATCGCTGCTCTGCGCCATCCATTTATGCGTTGCTTAGGTTACATGACCACATATCTCCTGATAATTGCCTGGCAATTTTTGCATAATACTTTCATGTTTATATACACTAATTTGCCTGTGTTCTTGCCGATGTGGAGCTTCCCTTGCAGTAATACAAGCTCATATATATATATATATATATATTAAGGTTTGTAAAGCTCCACACCACAAGGAATGAGTGGCAAATTAGGGTTTGTAAAGCACAAGAGATTGAGAGAGATCGCCGAGCTAGGTGACGCTAGCTTGTGACCTCAGTAGGGGCATTAGGGTGATGCTTGAATAAGCAGGTTTCATAATAATAAATAATAAATAATTTCGTATCTGCTATTGAAATTATATGAGGGACGACTTATGATTTAATATCAATACGGGCTTTCCAGAGCAGCGGCGACTGTAATAGTAACACCTCCCATTGTAAAGTCCCTGCCTGCTTAGACCATCACCTTTTTCCTAATTATTCTTATTCTCACATTTCAAAAACTACAACTACTGTTTTATAGTATATGTATATGTATGCATGCATATGTATATCTGTATATGTGATATGAAAGAAGGAGAGAAAATAGACAGGAAAAGAGGGGAAAGAAAAGGAAGAGGGAGAAAGAAGGAATTATATATCTCAAGTTAATAATTCAAATTCAATTTCAATTTCAAATTTCAAATTTCAAATTTTAAGTTTAACTAAAATTTTAAAGATACTGATAGGATATTGGTATATATCTTAATTTTTTAAAGATAAATAAATCCAAGACGCCAATGATAAAATCAAATTAAAATCCATGAATTTAATTTTATTTATTCAAATGAGGGATTTGATCTGACCCTGATCCAAATTAAAATCTATATTAATCTAAACGCACTCATAGATAGGTTCTACATTTCTTTTATTCTTTTTACTGATTCTCCTTTATATAGTGTAGTTTGATCAATTTGGACATGGGAATTAGTGTACAATATCATTTGCTCTTTTTATAATTTCACGGTTTTTTCATAGACTTTTCTTAACACAGATCTATCAAAGTTCAATGCATTAAGATAGCCAAAGTATTGGCCCATTGGGATATTGAGTTAAATAATTTTGTAATTGGTTAGAAATTCAAGCAAAAGAAAGGACGTGAATGAATTAATCCATGAATGAAGCTAGCTAGTAAAAGATCTTATAAAGAGAAAGTCCCTCATTGTCTGGAAACTAATGCAAATTAATGTATATAAAGTTTTGAAATTTCATAACAAATCGCCCTATTAATAAAGGGCATCATCATCGAGGACTTGAAGGCATTGATGAGGACATGTGGACTTGAATTTTTTTTAAAAAAAAAAAGGAAAGAAAAAGAAATACAGAGAGAATATTGTCCCAAAAACAATTGGAAATCATGAAAAATATAGAAAAAATAATATAATAATAATTAAATAATTACAAAACAAATCAAAACTGGGAAACGAAAAATTAAAATAGAAAGTTGTAGATAAAAAACACAAATGACTATATGAGGTATTTCAAAATACCTCTCATTTTCATTTAAAATGAGTAAAATAATATTAGGTATATTCAAAGTCTTTTTTATTAAAGACAGATCATAATTAAAAGACTTTAATTTGCTGCTCGCTAGTAAGACAGCTCATAGCTTATATTTAAAACAAAGCTATGCCCTAGTTGGGAGATTTCCTATGGATGTCTTCATGTTTTAAATACATATAAATACATTTCATGGGGGCATTAGAACTAATATGGCTAAATATTGGAAATCATTTATACTTGAGTAAAATAATTTTTTTTTTTTTTTGTGGAGGAACTTACCTAGCTTCTACTTAAAATGTACTCCCTCCATTCAAAAATGTAAAATATTTTTTGAGAAATTGGATGTTAAAAAATATAAGGTATTTTTAGTCTTTTGAGGTGTACTTTTTTTCAAAAATACCCCTATTAATAATGACTTTATATTTATTTATTATTAGAAAAATATAAATTAGCGAGAGAATTTAGTGATGGATTGTCTATTCCTCTCTAAAATATTTAATTGGTGAGAAAATTAGCGAGGAATATTTATTTCATAGCTTGCCTAAAAATTAGTGATGAAAAATAGTGAGAGATTATCAATTCCTCTCTAAAATAAGATAATTAGTGAGAAAATTAGCGAGGCATTTTTATACCACTCTAAAATGAGAGATGTAACATCCTAATTTTTAGATAAAAAAATTTATGAAATTTAAGTTTTTTTTAAAATGATGATAATAATAGAAATTTATATTATTTGAAAATAATAATATGGTTAGGCATTTAATTATGAATTAAAAACTTAAATTTAAAATTATATAAGAAATATTTTGTTAAGATATAATTTTAAGATTTAAAAAAAAATATTATTAATGTGTGAGTGTGAGTTAAAAAAAAAAGAAAAGAAAAGAAAGTAAAAAAAAAGGGGGAGGGGGTTTAGTCCCACATCGGTTAGATGTGGGAATGAAAGACACCTCCTCATGTATAAAAAGAGGAGGTGCATTGTGGAGGAAGCATGAAGAATTTTTTATTGCAATTTGTGAAAATTGCAATTAAGGGCCCAAGATGCAATTTGTGAAAATTACAAGTAATGGCCCAAAGGTTTGAATAATTAAATTCAAATCTATAGTTTTTTTAATATAATTTTGAGACCACAATCCCGTTTTTATATTATTTTTCTCTCTTCCTCTCACGTTGCTCGGCGTTTTCTCGCAAGGGGGGATTATTTTCTTTTTCTTCAGGTATGTTCTAACTTTCCTGTTTAGATTAGCATTTAAAAATTTATTTAATTACAAAATTAATTTTATAGTTATTTTCTAAATAATATTAGCTTTCTAGTGATATGATTATTTTGTAGGATAGAGTAAATATTCTGATTAGAATTTTTCTATATGATAGTTAATCTGATGATATGATGGATTAAAAATATAGGTTAAAACTCTTAGGGATATAATAAATATTATAGAATATTTTTTTGAGGTTGAAACTCATGTTTAAGAATTTTTGAGTTAAAATCTAGATCTATATGGTTGAATTTATGTGGAATCTGAGATGTAGGGATAAACCTATGATTATTAAATATTTATTTAAGTATGAATAGGTATTTTTGAGGTTATAGAAAGGTGATTTGAGGCTTCAGAATAATTCTAAAATTTTTAATTTATTTTTGGACGAATTTTTAAAATATAGAAGGATGAAATTGTGATATGAGAAGTGATTTAAGGATTAAAAAAATAGTTTATTAGGGTACGAGAATTTTAGAAAAAGAATTTGGGAAGTTAAATGAGGCATAAATCTTAAATTAGTATTAATATGGATTATAGATCTAAGACTTTCTAATTCTTTAAATTAGAGTTATTTATTTTAATGTAAAATTAATATATAGTATTGTGAAATAATTATGTAGATTATATTGACAAAGATAGTGGTGAAAAAGGAGTTGTGAAGGGGAACTTGTTATTCAAGACACAAGGTAACCATTATTAATGTGTTGTGATGAGTGTGTTTGTGAATGATTATGTGTTGACTTGTTGTTTGGAAAAATTATGAATTATTGAAAATAAATACTGTTATATACTTGTTTGAAATTATTGCCAAGTGGGTCAAAAATTTATTTTTATTTATCATGATGAGATATTATTGTTCGGATATATTCCTGTTTAGATATTTGAATGATGCATGACTTGTCAGGGTATTTTAATGTATGGTGTTAATGGGAATTTCTGTTCGGTTAATTATTACCACGTGGTAAGCCCTCATTGGACCCAATGAGTGGCGTGTCGCTTGGTCCAACTCACCTTTGGCCGGGTGATTTGGCGTCCGAGCATGGTGAAAGGAGGATATAAGGTGCAGTCATGCAATTAAATACTTGTTCGGTTTGTTTGAAAATATTGTTCGGTTAAATGTTTTGTGTGCCCACTTAGCAATCGCATGATTAGTTACAACCGCATGCATCATTACATATTAATTTTTGGTTACTGGGACTTTTAAGTCTCATTCCCCGTGGTTAATATTTTTACAGGATCGAGTCCGGCCGAGAAAGCACCAGAGGTGTAACTATGGTGTATGAGACACCATCTTTTACGTTGCCTCTTATTTTGGATTATACAATGTATCTTGTGCCAACTTAGGACATATCTTCTTTGTGAAGCATGTAAACTCTAATCCTTTTTATTAAAAGTATTTATATGACCAAGAGGATTATGTCTGTCCCTCATGGTTTTAATTGCCTTTTTGGATATTTTAAGACTTACGTTATGTCTTGGATGTATTATGGTAAGAAAATTTTCTACCATGATAATGGTTTTAATAATTTGTGAAAAATCGGTCTGTAAGTTTTGAGGGTGTTACATATTGGTATCAGAGCATCATGTTTCGAGCCTATATTTTAGTAACACTTATTTAAACTTTTATTTGAAACTATTATTTGTGTGAATTTAATATGTATTTATTATGTGTGGTGCATTGCATAGAGTCGGTTGACAATATACATTGTTATGGTGCTTCTCATTGTATGGCCATTATATAGCTAGGCTAATTTTATTATTTATATCTTGTATCCTTTAGGAGGGGAGAGAAAATTTTTTTGTGAAAATTATATGATTTATTAGATTATTTGAAAGCTCTATAATTAATTATATTTTGAATAGTATATGATATAGGTGATTTTGAATTGAATTATATTTATTGAGGCACTTAGGGTTGAGCTAAAGGAGGTAAGCTCAATGACACATGATTCCATCTTCTCTTTAAATAAGTTGGGGTCAATTTTTACATTTTATTCCCTCATGATACATAATTTTTTTTTTTTTGCAATTCAATCTTCAGATATTAACTAGCAAGTTTGTAAGGATTAATATCATCCTCCATATTTATGGGGAGATCATTAATAGAGTAGTTATCATAATTCCTGAAAATGATAGGCTTGATCATTTGAGTGTAGAAATTGAACATGAAGAGGAACTTGTGGATGTTCAAGATCTTAATTGTGAAATAATTGATGATCAACGGCATTTAAGTTGTGAAGACACAGAAGAATTTGAATTTGAGACTCAAGAAGAAGATAGTGAAGAGGAAAATGATGAAAATATCCAATATGAGGAGGAAGATAGAGAATCAAACTAATAAAGTATATTTTTTGGCATAATTTAGTAAGCTTATTAGTATTAAATCTATTTGCCAATGTTTATTTATTGCATTATTTTGTTTATTTTTTTCACATGGTATAATTAACTTTTTAATTTGCTTACATGTTACTAATAGCTTATGAACTCTTTTCTATAGCAATGCCTAGAGGAAGAGGTCGAAGAGGAATATTAGGAGGTAGAGGATGTAGACATGCTGAAAGGAGTGAAGATAATTCTAGCACACCATGTAGCCAAAAGTATTCAGAAGAAGTTGTGAACACACATGCTAGAAGTGTTCAACCATACTTATGTGTTGTTGGGAAAGGGGATTCGTATGTTTATAAAAATTTCAATCCTTATTCTAGATTTATTTTCAAAAATGTAACTTAAAAGCATTTTATTTTGCAGGTTATCCCCACATGATGCAATTCATGATATCACTAGAATATTTAAAAAATCATTCTCAGGTGTATGGCCTACTTGGACTTCCATTCCATCTCATCATGTTAGAGACCAATGGCTTGACGAACTAAAAGTATGTTAATTCTTCATTTTTATGACTTTGAAAGTTTGCTGACATTTACTTATGGTTATTCACTATTATTTGATCAATGGTGACTGAATTTGGTTATCAAAACTGAAAGGAACATTCATATGAAGAGAAAAAAATGATCTTAAAATCCTTGAATTATTTAGATCAGATAAGTGGTTGGATGCTCCCTTAATTTTTCTTATCTATGTGAGAGTCTAATATATGTATACACACACATATATAAATCACACGTAAGCTTTTGTTCTGATTGATACACACACATATATATGAGCTTTGTTCTTGTGTGTGCCCCTCACCGTTAAATTTAAAACTAAACTTAAAGGCTTGTCTCATTTAGCTTTAAAAAACTATCAAATAGCACATGGATAAACCTAATCCTTGGGACCATAATATTTGTTTCTACTAATTTTTTTAATTTCCTACTTTTTTGTTATTTGTCCTTTTTCTTTGCTCTAATAAATGATGACTTTAATTGCCATGGATAAACCTGGATAAGTCTAATCCTTAGGACCATTTAGCTTTAATTGTCCTTTTCTGTTATACACACACATGGTGCATTCTTGTAGTAATACTACATCCTCCCTTCTTCATTTTCATTCCATTTTATCTATTAGCTCAATAGGTCGGTGGGGTCTTTAAATTTTAGGCCTAAAAAAATAAAGCTCTGTTGTAAAGCATCTTGTAACTTTACTAGCAGAAGATATGAATTAACTTAAACAACACTCAGGCTGTTCTTTCGTCTTTGTTTATAACAAGAAAAATGAAAAATGAAAGTAGCCCAAAGCTTCTAAAGCAAGTAGAAGTGCTCATGGATTGTGAATCATCCTTTTAAGCTTTAGCCATGTCACTGAAGAAGCCAGAGAAAACTAACGTAACACACACGCATACACAGGGAGAGGAGTCCTTTCCTTACACCCCTCCCCTTCTTTTTAAAACCCCCTTTTCTATATATGCACAGTTCCACTCTATTATGCTGGCCTGGCTATCTAATATTGATCGGATATTTTCTTGTGTTGTTTTTGTGGCAATTAACTAATGATGGGACTCGTTTGTTAATTGTACAATAGTACACAATATTTTCTGAACTCATGAACACCTTAAATTTACCAAATATATAAAAGAATAGATAGACAGATTTTTATTTTTCATCATATACATGATTGCAGGGTTAATTATTTGTAATGCACTATTAAAAAAATTCAATATAGCAAACAAAGTATAATTCTCTAATTTCTCATTGATAGCTTCTTATTTAAAAAAAATGTTCCATATTTAGCTTATTTTCTCACAACTAATCACAAGGTGGCCTAGGCGATTTGTTAGGACAAAATATATGAATAAATTATAGTGGATGGGTTAGGGTCAGGGTTAGGGAAACTAAGCATTCGTACATGTAGATGGAGTGTATTGCAAACATCTCATAATAAATCTGCTCTAGTACCTGAAAGTTGCAGTTGAAATCATGACTTCATCAAACATATATAATCTCTTCTTTTTTGTCTCAAAGATTTCTAGCATGTAATATTTTGATGAATATAAAGATTTCTTGCTTTCTTGTTTATTTTGTTTTGTAAATAAAGTGAAACTAACATTCAAATATAAGTGCTTAACTCTTGAGTTTGATATATTTCAGCTACTTTTCTCTCTTCATTGTCTATGTTGTGTACATGTATTGGTGTATTCTTATATTGCTTGCTCTTTGTTCCTTACTCTACTATTAGACTATTTTCTATAACTTCTAAGCTTATGTGCTACTTTTAATTTAGAGATTATATCATTGGGAGGAAAATGAAACAAAGACAATAAGATATGCTTTTAAAGCCATTGGGTCTTAACGACTTAGTGATATTCTTGGTAAAGAAAGGAAAAAGCATAGGGAAAATGAAAATTATGTTCCCAATTGGATAAGTGGAGCTCACTGGAATGAACTTGTGCGGTATTGAAATACCCCAAGATCCAAAAAGATTTCAACAATCAATTCAAACAATAGATTGGCAAATCCATCTCTTCATATAGGAGGATCTATTCCCACATATTTACATGCTGCAAAATTGATAAGTTCTAATTTATATAGCTGTAAAATCTATTTCTTTACATTATTAATGATTTGATGCTAATTTTATAACAATGATTATTACATTTGTAGCAAAAAAGCACCGGAAAGAGAGTGATGTTGTCCCAATTATATGTGGCTACACATAAGAAAAAGAAAAACAATCAATGGGTTGATGAGAAATTAAAAAACACATATGTAAGTTTAGATTCTCGAAAACTAAAATGATATCTTTATGTTTTGATTATTTATTAATTCATTTGAACTTTTTAGGTGACGTTCAAAAAAAAAATATTCAACAAGCTGCTAGAATTTCTGAAGAGATTATTAAGGAGGAAGATGGACAACAAGGAAATAGTGATGCTACTGTAGGACTTGAAAATGAATGTGCAGGGGAACAGCTAACCCAACAAGTTACAAATGATGACTTTCTTCAAACTCAAGCCTCTCTCCCTTCAAAAGAAGTGGCTCAAGCATGGTTGAAGGCTATCGGGGGACAAAAAAAAAGTGGTAGAGTTTATGGATTGGGATCACATGCTACTGTAGTATGTGGCTTTGCTAGCAACTCTATACTCCACATTAACAATACTCTATCTCCTGTTGCTCCCCAATCTACCACTGTAGATAATGTTGTTCAAACGCCTGCATTTGAAGAAGCTATTAACCGTGCTGTAGAGGAAAGGGTACAACATGTTCTTGAAGAAAAGATGAACCAAGCATTGGATCAAAGATTGTCAAATATGAGACTTTCAATACGGCAAGACATATTTGGGGCTATTCAAACTCTAGGTGAAAGGGTCTCAACTCTATAGCAAAATGCCAATAGCTCTAATTTCTCTAGGCAACAAGATTCTAATCATGATTGTGCAAAATAACTTATGTATGAAGTGTTTTGAACTTGCTGTGTACTTTTTTTATATTTTGCATAACTCTCTATGTATGAACTAGCTTGAACTTTATGACTATAATTGATATAGTATTAAATTTTGTTATATTAATGTGATTATTGTTTATGATTAAAAATTTGGATGGATGATAAGCTGTGTGGTTATATAGGAACCAAAATATTAAAAATTTAGAATTTGCTAAGTTAAATTAGTGAGGGATTACTGGAGGATTATGTTAAAAAATTTTATAGTTTTAGCGAAGGATTTAGTGAGGGACATAAATCCCTCACTAAAATCAAATTTAGCGAGGAAATGGTGAAGGCAGAAACCCTCGCTATAAAAAATAGCGAGGGATTGGTCCGTCGCTTTTATCTCACTAAAATGGTGAATTTTAACCGCAATTAGTGACGGATTAGTGAGGAATAGTTTCCGTCGCTAAGTTTTAGCAAGGGATTTCAACCATCACTATTTCTTCGCTAAATGATAAGATTATATCCTGATTTGCAAGGGCTTTAGCAAGGGATATAGGGATATGTCCCTCGCTAATTAGAGAGGGATTCAGCCCTCGCTAA